TCTGGGGAACCCATCCAGACAGACTGGAAGCACACCAGGCAAAACTCCCACCATGGCAAGCTGTGGGAAAGGAAGCAAGTCCTTGCAGACGTGCCAGCCCAAGCTGTGGGAACAGCATCTACCCCCCTGAATACCCGGGGCTTGGGCTGTATAAAAGTGATAGCCCAGAAGCACAACTTGGGGACCCTCCACCGAGCAGAGCAGGGTGAAGAAGGACTGGTGGGAGCCTCAGGGATCTCCATGGTGTGATACATTTACTTCATCTCTGTCTCTCTCTCACTGGCTTCCCACCACCCCTTTCTTCTCTCTCTATTTCTTTCTCTTTCTCTACCTCCTATTTACTGTTAAATCAAACCTGGACTGCTGACTTTGGCACATGGTCTCCTTTGCAGCTGAATTTGGGCAGAGGTGTCTTTTAATAATGGGAACCTGAGAGTATCCATGAGGTTTTACAGTGTGGGAATGGCCACCAGATTCCATGAGGTTCCACAGAGTCTCAGGGTCCATTTGGCTTCATAAGGTTCTGCAGTGTGATAATGGACCCTTGATTCCATGAGTTTGCAAAATGTCTCAGGACTCCTTTGGTTCTCGGAGGCCCCACATATCACAGTGACCCCTTGGTTCCATGAGATTCCACAGTGTCCCAGGAATCCTTTGGTTCCATGAGCCCTGCATGTCACAAAGGCCTCTTGATTCCATGAGGTTCCACAGTGCCCACATGGGCCCTTGATTTCTTTAGGTCCACAATGTCCCGGGGTCCCTTTGTCTCCATGAGGCTCTGCAGTGTCACAGTGGCCCCTTGGTTCCATGAGGTTCTGAAAAGTCTCAGGGTTCCTTTGGTTCCATGAGGCCCTGCAGTGTCACAGTGGCCTAGTAATTCCATGTGGTTCCACATTGTCCCAGGGTTCCTTTGGTTCCATGAGTCCCTGAGGTTCCTCAGTGTCACAATGGCCCCTTGATTCTATGAGGTCCCAAAATGTCTCAGGGCTCCCTTAGTTCCAAGAGGGCCTTCATGGCACAATGAATCCTTGGTTCCATGAGGTTCCACAGTGTCCCAGGGTTCCTTTGGCTCCAGAAGGCCCTACAGTGTCACAATGGCCCCTTTACTCCAGGAGGTTCCACAGTGTCCTTGCTGGAACACACAGGGCTGTAATGTTGTCACCCCTGCAGAGCTGCCTCCAGCTCTGGGCTGCAGCACAGGAAGGACATGGACCTGTTGGAACGAGTCCAGAGGAGACCATCAAAGGGATCAGAGGGATGGAGCAGCTCTGCTGTGAGGAAAGGCTGAGAGAATTGGCATTGTTCAGGTTGGAGAAGAGAAGGTTTTGGGGTGACCTAATTATGGTCTTGCAGTGCCTGAAGGGAGCCAACAAGAAAGATGGAGAGAGACTATTTACAAGGTCCTGGAGTGAAAGGACAAGGGGAATGGCTTCACACTGAGAGAGGGAAGGGTTAGATGGGATATTAGGAAGAATTTCTGGACTGTGATGGTAGTGAGATCCTGGCACAGGTTGCTCAGAGAAGTTCTGGCTGCCCCATCCCTGGAAGTGTTCACGGCCAGGTTGGATGGGGCTGTGAGCTCTGAGTCTAGTGGAAGGTGTCCCTGCCCATGGCAGGGGTTGGACTGAGATGCTCTTTAAGGTCCCTTCCCACCCAAACCATTCCATGATTCTGTGACTGGTGGGGGATGTGGTGGTCGAGCCGACGGCACAGAGACCCCAAAATGATGGAGTTTTCCATTCTGGGTGGAGGAAGGAGGGGGCAGCAGAACTGACACCCTGGACTGCTGGTGGTCAGACTTTGTCCTGTTTGGGAGACTGACTGATCTGGGTGTGAGTGTGGATGTGCTGGAGGGCAGGAAGGCTCTGCAGAGGGATCTGGACAGACTGGATCAATAAGGCCAAGTGTCAGGGCCTGCACTTGGGTCCCAACAACCCCCTGGAACGCTCCAGTCTGGGGGCAGAGGGGCTGGAGAGCTGCTCAGCAGGAAGGGACTTGGAGGTGCTGCTTGACAGCGGCTGGATATGAGGCAGAGTGTGCCCAGGGGGGCAAGAAGACCAAGGGCATCGTGGCCTCTGTGGAGAAGAGTGTGGCCAGCAGGAGCAGAGAACTGATTGCCCCTCTGTGCTGGGCACTGGGGAGGCCCTGATGCCAATTTATGCCCCAAAACAAGGCGCGGAGAAACTGCTCAGAGACAGAATTTCAGTCTATAAGCAGGAGGTATTTATTTCACAGCCGGGGAGCAGCCAGGTCGCCCTGGACAAACTGCTCCAACTCGAGAAACACACAATCCAACTTTTATACACCTTTTACTAAGCAATTACATCATATATTATGAATATTCATTACATTGCAACATCTGCTTTTAATATTCATAACAGGTGGAGTCGAGGCGGAGTTAGAGGTGTGGTCCTTAATTTGGGGAGAACTTCGGTGGGAGTTCCGGTCTTTCTTCATCATGAACCTCATGTCCTTTTCATCATCATCCTCCTAAACTTTTGAACCTTTCCTAATTTGGGTAGCTTCCTTATGAATTTGGCAGAGAGTTTTGGTATTTGGCACTAATACCTAATTTCTTGGCTCGTCCCCCTCTTTATCTCTTTGGTTTCCTCTCCATATGCCTTTTTTTTTGTGTGCTAGCATTTTCTGTTCATGTTTATGTTCTTCTGTGTCAGGGTGTCCTGTACCTCAGTGAATTTATTGTCTCCGCTTTCCTAATACTGAATTCTATGTGCTTTGCTAAAGCTTGCATCTATATTTTGTGCTTAACTCTTTATATTGCTTAAATTCGCTTTTCAGGTGTTAACTGGCTTCATTTCCCCCCTTTTCTCAGAACTTACGAATTCCTTCGTCAAGTTCTAATCCTAAAGGGCGCTGATATGCTTTTATCATTGCCCAAATCATTTGGGTTCTCTTGACCATGGACCTCAACTTACACCACAGGTATATGTTAATGAGGGTTAACAAGAACATGCCTATAGCTATAATCAATATGGGGTGTATTAGGTAGTGAAAGACTTGTGTTGCTGTTGGGGAGTATCCTGTGAAAATGTCCCACCAATGATGCTGGCCTACTTGCGCAACTTTTGTCAGGATATTTTTTATACCTTTAGAATTATGCTCTACTTGCCACAACATGCGTTGGGTCGTTTGGTTCACCTTCTGAACTAACTTTTCTACTTCAGGATGCACAAGCATCTCTTTGAGAAGCTTAACATCCATGCCTATCTGTAGCTTGGGTATCTCATGATATAAAGTATACTCAGCTTCAACTAACTGCTGTGTAGTTATGGGAGCAGTGTAGTTAAAGTCACAACCCATGACTTTTGTGAAGTTGCATATGCAAAAGTTAGTATCGTTAGTCACTTCATGACAATTATCTATAGTAACATCATTACAGGCGGTTCTAATGCAAGCGCATCCATTCCCTATATAGAATACTTGTGATGGCGCTCTATTGTGTGGAAGCATTTCAAAAGTGCATACACTGTCTTCGGCATCTAAGCATAGATCCTCAGCTTCTACAATGGCATTTTCGCAGATATAACCTAATTGCCCTTTAGGAATACATGCTTCTGTACTAATTGATTGCCACTTGTTCTTAGTACTATCATAATTTGCCCAAACGTTATGGTCCACAGGTTTGACAATGACATTCTGATGCATAGCTCCTAATGTTAAAACAGGAAATATAACCCTTTCTTCCGCGGCACTAATAGTAAGGACATAGGTTTCAATGTGTTCCTCTTGTGGATCATAAGTGAAATTAACTAGTTGCCACCAAGCCTGGTGGTCTCTTTCAAACTGTGTGGTGGAACTACCTCTTAATATACTCTCCCTTATTTCCTGAGGCAGTATATCTGACATTCCTTCTCTTAATATTCCCGCTGCTACTGATTGTACCCATTGCTGTGTCTGAACACACTGGATAGCAAGTGCAATTTCTTTGCTAATCTCTCCAGGATAGTCAGCAAGTTTAACAAAATCTTCAGCGGTGTGGTTGGCTACTAAGGTCATCAATTTGACCACTAATGACTGTGTCTCTGCTAAGGTTAGCATAGACGAGCTTAAAGGTACTTTAAGCTTTCCCAAATTCGAAGTGACGGTACTTAATTTGTTCACTAATACTTCTTGGTCTATAGTGTTCAATATGCCGAACCCTGTACCAACCCATCCGCTTATATCTCTTTGTGTTCGTTTGCGGTGTGATCTAGTTGCTAACCAGGCATTCCAGCCTTTGAGGCTGTGCTGTATAAATGGTCGGCAATCTCCCTGTAAGTGTGTAATGTCTGTCTGAATGTTCATCTGTATTTTCTTCAGAGAATATGTAGGATCTAATAACAACTTTAGTTCGTTCGATTGTCTTATTACTTGAGGTCCTATAAAGGTTAAATTATGTATCTTCCTGCATTCTAGAGGCGGAGTGGTTTCACGAGACGGGCTCACAATCGAGTCTGTTGCTAATCTAATGGCCCGCTTAAAGGCTCTACCGGTTACAATGCCTTGTTCACCAATGGGTTCAAGAATCTTGGCTTCTCTGCTACATGAAAACGACATCGATTGATCTAGTTTGAATATAATTTCACACTGTGCTCTACCCCCTTCAGTACTATCCCATTGACATGAGACTGGTCCCTTCTGTTCAATCCAGACGATGGGCTTCCCATCTTCTACTTGGCTATGAGTAATTAAATTCTGTCTAGGGGCTTCTTGCCAGAATTCAATTGTCAATGTTAGTTTATCTGTTTTTCCCACTAAAGCCTCGACTTCTCGGCATCCTACTTGAATTTGGTCTTCTTTTTGTGCTATGAAATGGGTTCCGCTATCCCATTCATCTATCGTATAGGGTTGATTGTTATGTAGTACATAATTCTCAAAGTCTGGGTTTTCCTCGGAGCGTGGTAGTGTGCGTGCACTAGACCACGGCCCTTCTGGAGTAGGGTTTTGGGATAAAACAATACTTATCAAAAGTCCAATGATCAACGTTGAAAGAGCCGGATTCATGATGCCAGGTCTTCCCGCTTATCTTCCGGAGCTTTCTTGACTCGAGAGTAGTGAATCCATGTAGGTCGTTCTTTGATCCTAACCGCGGTGAAGGTGGTCAGCAGCACTTGGAAAGGTCCCTCCCACTTTTCTTGTAGGGGTTTTCCTAGAAGATTCTTAACATACACCCAATCACCAGGGTTAAATGGATGCAATTTGCAGTCAGGTTGCTTGGGTTGGTGTTCTACTACTACTGCAGCATTTTTATCAAAATGTTTTCCTACAGCGATTACATAATCATATATATATTGATTGCCTATTTGGTCTACAGCATCACTATTTACAGTCTGCATAGCATAAGGTCTACCGTACAGAATTTCAAATGGGCTCAACTTCTCCTTTGATCGAGGTTTGACCCTCAATCTAATCAGAGCAATAGGCAGAGCTTGATACCATTGTAAGTTGGTTTCTTGACATATTTTAGCAATTTGTTGTTTGATAAGATGATTCATCTTTTCTACTTGCCCACTAGCTTGTGGCCTGTAGGGCGTATGTAATTGCCATTTAATCTGCAATGCTTTGCTTATTGCTCTCACAACTTTTGCACAGAAATGCGAACCTCTGTCTGAGGATATACTCCTTGGTATCCCAAACCGCGGTATAATTTCGTTTAACAAAACTTTAGTTACTTCTCTCTCTTTGTTTGTTCTACAGGGAAACGCTTCAGGCCACCCAGAAAATGTATCAGTTAGTACCAATAAGTACCTATACCCCCCTTTTCTTGGGAGTTCAGAGAAATCAATTTGCCATATTTCACCTGGGAATTTACCTCGATTTATTGTTCCTTGATGTACCTTGGTCCCTGTATTTGGATTATTCTTCAGGCATCGTTCGCATTGGGTTGTAACTTGTTTTACAGTAGTGAATAATTTTGGCCCTGCTATTCTAGTTTGCAAATACTGATAAAGCGGGTCTAAGCTCCAATGCGTTTTCTCATGTTCTGTTTTTACAAATTGCCACATTAATTTCTCTGGTATTATTAATTGTCCTGTTTCTAATTGACCCCATCCATTGTCTAATAATTTGCCTTTGTTCTTTTGAATCCACCTATGATCTGAGTCCTGATAATTTGTTTGGAAGTTGGTATCTAGCTCTTCTGGTATTAGAGCTGTTATAACCACTTCCTTGGTTCTTGCAGCAGCTAATTTAGCTTCTGCGTCAGCTTTCCTATTTCCTATCTCTGGAACAGTGTTACCTTTTAGGTGTCCTTTGCAATGCATTATGGCCACTTGTGCTGGGAGTTGGACTGCTTCTAACAATCGTAGAATTTCTTCTGCGTGTTTGACTGTTTTCCCTTGGGCGGTTAGCAGTCCCCTTTCTTTCCAAATTGCTCCATGAGCGTGTACGACAGAGAAGGCATACTTAGAGTCTGTCCAGATGTTAATTCGTATGCCTTCTGCCAATTCCAGAGCTCGGGTAAGAGCTATTAATTCCGCCTTTTGGGCTGAGGTCCCTGCAGGTAAAGGATTTGATTCGATTACCTCTTCTGTTGTGGTTACTGCATAGCCTGCCATTCTTACTCCTTGCTTCACGAAGCTGCTGCCGTCCGAGAACCAGTTGTCTGCATCTTCAAATGGCTCTTCTTTGAGATCCGGGCGGCTGGAGTAAACTGCTTCGATGGTTTCCAGGCAGTCATGTTCAATTGGCTCTGCTGACATTCTTCCTTCTAAAAATGAGGCTGGATTCACAACATTAGTTACTTGAATGGTTATGTCATCTGATTCAGCTAGGATTGCTTGGTACTTTAGGAATCTGGAAGGCGACAACCAATGGCCACCTTTCTGTTCTAGTACAGCAGACACAGTGTGGGACACCAACACAGTCATTTTCTGGCCCATTGTGAGCTTTCTGGCCTCTTCTATGTTTATGATTACTGCGGCCACCGCTTTCAGACAGCTGGGCCATCCTTTGCTTACTTCATCCAGCTGTTTGGAGAAATAAGCTACAGCTCTTTTATGTGGTCCCAATTGCTGTGCCAGGACTCCTAAAGCCATCCCTTGTCGTTCATGAGAGAACAGCCAAAATGGTTTCGTTACATCTGGGAGGCCCAAAGCTGGGGCCCTCATGAGTTCTTGTTTCAGTCTCTTAAAGGCTCCTTCTGCTTCGGGAGTCCAAACCAGGATGTTTTTTGCTTCTTTTAGTAAATCGTACAATGGTTTGGCGAGTACCCCATATTGATAGATCCATAAACGGCACCAACCTGTCATTCCCAGAAAGGCTCGTAGATCTCTCACCATCTCTGGTTTGGGCATCTGGCAAATGGCTTCTTTCCTTGCTGTTCCTAGGGATCGTTGTCCTCTGGAGATCTCATATCCCAGGTATACTACTTTTTCTTGCACCAGTTGCGCTTTCTGTTGAGAGACTCGATATCCACTTAATCCCAAGAAATTCAACAAAGAAATAGTCCATTTAACACACTCTTCTTCTGATTCAGTTGCTATTAATAGATCATCTACGTATTGCAGAAGAGTGCCATCCCCTTGTGGCCTTTCCCATTGTTCCAATTCTTTGGCCAATTGATTCCCAAAGATTGTTGGACTGTTTTTGTAGCCTTGAGGTAACACTGTCCAGGTTAATTGGGTCTTTCTCCCTTTACTCACAAATTCCCATTCAAAGGCAAAAATCTTTTGGCTTTCTGGGGCTAAGGGAAGGCAAAAGAATGCATCTTTTAGATCTAACACTGTGAACCGAATTAAATTGTCCTTTAGCTTGGTCAGGAGGGTATAAGGGTTTGCCACCACTGGGTGTAGAGTTTTTGTTATTGCATTTACAGCTCTCAAATCTTGGACCAATCTATAGGTTCCACCAGGTTTCTTAATTGGTAAGATTGATGTATTATAATCTGATTCACATTCCACTAATAGTCCTAATTCCAGGAATTTCCCAATTATGGGTTCGACCCCTTTCCTGTCTTCTAATCTCAGGGGATACTGCTTCCTCACTACTGGTCTTGCTCCAGGTATAAGTTTGATAACAATAGGTGTTGCCTGTCTTGATTTCCCAGGTACATCAGTAGCCCATACCAACGGGTATGCCTCGCTCATAATCTGCTCAATACTCCGGCTTTCAGGTTTCGGCTCTATGTAACTGATTGTCAAGCTTAGGGCTGTAATCAGTTGTTCTTCATTTACCTGGAATTCCAGTTTGTCTTTGTTGAATTTTATTACAGCTCCTAAATTTTCCAATAAATCTCTACCTAGTAGAGGTTTTGGAGAATTTGGTAAGTACAAAAACTGATGGATCCCCATTTGTTTTCCAATTTTGTATTTAATAGGTTTTAGGAAATAAGCTTTTTCTGGTTGGCCTGTTGCTCCTACAACTTGTACAAATTCATCGCTCTTGGGTACCAATTCTTGATTTAAAACTGAAAATGTTGCCCCTGTGTCTATCAGAAAATCTAATTCTTTTTCACCTTCCCCTAGCTCCATTTTAACCAGTGGGTCTGCTAGGGAACGACTCACCGGTCCCCTTCGGTCACTGCTCTGATGTGCAACAGCAGTGTTTGCAAGCCTCTCTCCCAACTGGGGGCAGTCTCGTTTCCAATGGCCTATCTGAAAGCAATTGGAACATTGGTCTGGTCCTACCCTGATGGGTTGAGGTCTAAATCCTCCCCTCCCTCTCGTAGGGTAACCTCGACCCCTCCCCCTTACATTTGTGTCTGGGTATTTTGTATTTTGGGCTGCCACTGCTACTGCTACGATCCGAGCAACTCTTTTATCTTCTCTCTTTTTCTCTTCCTTTTCTCTATTGTTGTATACTTCCCAGGCTTCGTTCATCAATGTTTCTAGGTCTTTATTTGCTGGATGCTTAAGTTTCTGTAATTTCTTTCTAATGTCTGAAGTGCACTGCCCCATTACTAACCCTAGCAGTTGTTGTCTCCCTTCTTCTGATGCTGGGTCTAAGGGTGTATATTGTCTCATGGCGGTTCTAAGTCTGTCTAGAAACTCGGAGGGAGTTTCATCTTTTCCCTGCCTAACATCATACAAGGCTGCCCAGTTAATGGCTTTAGGTATTGCTTTTCGCAGACCTAAGGCTATTAGCTTCCTATATTGCACCAGCAGCTTATAATGATTGGGGTTATTTGGATCCCACTCTGGATTTTTACTTGGGAATACAACTTCCAATTCTTCGGGCAACAAGGTGGCATTATCTCTTCCTGTTTTCAATACTAGCTCTTTTTCCGTTTCTGTTAATTCTGACAGCATTACTTCTATATCACTCCAGTCAATGTCTAGGTTCTTTGCAATTAACTCAAACCTCTTAGCTACCCCCTCCGGGTTCTTCCTAAAATTCCGGGCTTCTTCTCTCCAACTATTCAAATCACTTGCTGTGAATGGTACCCTTACCCGCCCCTGGTCTCCTGCAATGGGCGTTATCTGTCGAAGGGGAGCTATTGTATAACTTCCTTCGATTCTTTCTTTTGCTTCCTTTCGGGCTACAGACCTAGTGTAGTGTGGGTGGCTAGTTCCTTCTCCAGGGTCGTCTGCTTCTTGGGCCCCAGTGTCTATTCTATTCTTTCTCTTTTCTTTTCTTTTCCCTCGTTTCGGTTCTTCGTCCTCACTTCCTGTTCCTGCCCAGTCATCTTCTCCCAACCTTCTGGCATGGTTCACACAGTCTAGCCGCCTCTCTTTCTGGGTTTGGAGGAGATGCTGTCGGCGCTCAGCTTGTCCGGGGCTGCTCTCTTCGTCTTCCTCTGCCCCTCTGGTATCTCTCTTATCATCTATTTGAATCACTATGTTTAACCTTTGTGTGTTGTCTTCCTTTTCTCCTTGAATTATAATGCCACTGCATCCTACTTTAGGGGAATCGCTCTCCTTTTCTAAGGCTAAGACTAAGGGGTCTTGTGGTGCTACATTTACTCCGCACTCTCTTTGCCACTCAGGTTTGTTCCTTAGTGTAAAAAAAACATGTCACAATATATCACTTCATCCCACTTCCCTAGTCGACGAAGGAACAACATAAGCTGTAAAATTGTATTATAATTTTTTGTCCCTTCAGGTGGCCATTTCTCGTCATCATCTAGTTTGTACAAAGGCCACCATTGAGTGCAGTATTTTAGGAGTGTTTTCTTGCTTATGTTTCCTCCTGGGGCTCCCCCTAGATCCCTCCAATGCTTTAGGATACACCCCAGGGGGGGTTTTCATATTTATATCTTTACTTTGCTGGCTTCCCATTATTATCGTAGGGCCTGGTGATGTTCCCAAACAGGTATCCAATTCAGAAACTCTTCTAATACTAGAGGATCGTATCCCAACTTCCCACTCTCTTTTCTTATTTTTCTTATGAATTCCTTTACGTGATATTCTATTACGTCAAGTAATTCTTGTCTCTGAATCCGTGCTTCTATGTCCAATTGGGCTAGGCTTCCACTAACGTATTCACACTGTGTAGCTTTCGGTATGTCAGTAAATTCTACTTTAAATCGCAATACTTTCCTTATCCTATTCCACCGTCTTAGAGTATTTCTGATTCTGTCCCAACACTTCATGTACGCAATCTCCAACCGCTTCGTCCGTTTCTGGCCTGGCTCCTCGCGGAGAACAGGAACCGCAGAGCAGGACTCCTCACTCGCCCCGCAGCAGAGCCGCGTCTCAATCACACTCGCACACACACTTATACACTTGATATAGGAGAACTTTCCTACCTTCTGGTTTCTATCTGAGCATTCTGCGTTACCAGGTAAGGTCGCGAGATGGCGCTGCAGACCGTGAAATATGGCTTTGCTGTCGGCTGTCCGATCTATGTTACCACAAACTCACAGGATGTTGCTGCAAACTATAAAACACACTTCTCACAGAAAATGCAACCAAGATGTTACAAATACTTGTCTATGAGTGTGGCGGCAATAAAATCTCACCCACTTAGTTTCTGCCAAATCTTGATTTGACCAACAGCGTATACAGTGGAAGGTAAGGGTACGATTGAGCGCTATTTCTTGTGTTCCTCTTGGACCCAAAATATATTTACCACAATTGTTACACAAAGCTCTAACATACAGTGAGCAATAACAGAAAGGACAGATTTTAATCCTAGGATTTATACGTGCCGGCAAAAGCTTATTCACTCTTATAGAACTGAGATTGCAATCATTTCCCATATAGAGTTAAAAGACGTTTCAAGGATTATACTGTATATGAAAACACAACATCTAATTTTTCAATGGACAAACAAACCGCTGCAAACAATAAAATCATAAATGAGAGTCTCTCAGTACCTAAACAGCTTATTTTAGTTTCGTTTTACTCGTTAACAAAAACCAGAACAGTCTGCAAGAGAAACCGCATTCCAAGAATTCTTTGCTGGTACAAGGAGTTCCCTGGGTCCTAAAGCTCCTAGAAACACTCAATCAGCTTCGGAAGAATTAAAAATGGTTAACTCTCTGATTCGAGCACAGTTTCCAATGCATTACCAGACAATATCTTGCACGAAACAAAAATGATCAGGAGAAATTAGAGCAAGAACATTTGCAAACAGGACACAGAAACATAAAGGGTGAACACAGCATTACAAAGAAAAGACAATTTTACACTGCAGTGTCGGGACTCTAACCCGATCAGGGACTCTAACCCTTTCTTGGCAGGACTCTAACCCGCTATCTTTGCAGGACTCTAACCCGCAACTTTCAATACCTGGGACTCTAACCCAGTTTTAGGGCTAATGCTGAGGCGTCCCTCCAGCTCCCTTTTGGGCGATAGCGTCCTATCCCCACCAACTTAATTACTTTCCTTTATAAACTGCAGTTTAAAACATAAATACCTCTTAATTTGAAGCAGGAGGTTCTTGTCCACCGTTGCTCAGATCCAAGGGGTCTGGGAGACTCTGCCGACAAAAATTCAGTCGGGGGGCCCGAGAGCGTCCCGGCCCCTTGGGTCCTGGCTCGGGAAGACCCCCTCTCTCCTGCCTGGCTCGCCAAATTGATGCCAATTTATGCCCCAAAACAAGGCGCGGAGAAACTGCTCAGAGACAGAATTTCAGTCTATAAGCAGGAGGTATTTATTTCACGGCCGGGGAGCAGCCAGGTCGCCCTGGACAAACTGCTCCGACTCGAGAAACACACAATCCAACTTTTATACACCTTTTACTAAGCAATTACATCATATATTATGAATATTCATTACATTGCAACATCTGCTTTTAATATTCATAACAGGTGGAGTTGAGGCGGAGTTATAGGCGTGGTCCTTAATTTGGGGAGAACTTCGGTGGGAGTTCCGGTCTTTCTTCATCATGAGCCTCATGTCCTTTTCATCATCATCCTCCTAAACTTTTGAACCTTTCCTAATTTGGGTAGCTTCCTTATGAATTTGGCAGAGAGTTTTGGTATTTGGCACTAATACCTAATTTCTTGGCTTGTCCCTCTCTTTATCTCTTTGGTTTCCTCTCCATATGCCTTTTTGTGTGTGCTAGCATTTTCTGTTCATGTTTATGTTCTTCTGTGTCAGGGTGTCCTGTACCTCAGTGAATTTATTGTCTCCGCTTTCCTAATACTGAATTCTATGTGCTTCGCTAAAGCTTGCATCTATATTTTGTGCTTAACTCTTTATATTGCTTAAATTCGCTTTTCAGGTGTTACCTGGCTTCACCATAGTCTGTGCTTTTGTCCCCCTCTTACCAGAAGAGATGGGGTAAAGGGAGCAGCTTATTTGGAGTTTAATTTCCAGCTGGTGTTAAAACTAACACACTATTAAAAGATATCAAAATTGCCATGAAAAAGTAAGAAATGATTCAAGAAAATCTAAGTGTGTTTATTCCCTTAGAACAAGAAGAAATAGTTCTCCTTCAGAAGTCAATAAGATGATTTAATATATAAAGTGTGTGATTCTTGTCACGTGTGTTTCTACAGGTTACACTTTAAAAATCAATGTCAAAAAACCACAGTGATATTCATAGGCTAATCCCAGTACCCCACAAAAAGAATGGACAGGTTTTCAAGGAGCAGGCTTTGGTATAAGGCAATAGCAATAGAATGGTTCTGGCTCTTCTTAATTAAAATAACTTATTTTTCTACTTCATGCTTATCATTTCACCTTATTTACCAACATAAAATATTGGGCAAGAGATCAAATGGGTAACAGCTGTCTGTGAATTAAATAAGGATGAGAAATAAAAGATGAATTCTAACAAAAAGCTGTGTGTTTTGAGTAAAATAGCAACAGCAGGATCAAGAGGCCTAAGGACTTTTAAAATGATACTTGATAAGTTTATGAAATGGATTATATGACATGGTTGTCTGTAATGGCAGGTGCTGCATCCAGGCAGTTCATCATAGGAACAAAGGAAACAGGATTAGGAAGAAATTATTGCAATAATCTTATCTGCAATTTTCAGATATGTGTCCTACGGTTAGGAGGTGTGGAGCAATGAAGCAGTCTGCTCAGTGTAGCAGCAAGAAGCAATCAGCTGTAGTTAACTTCATTCTCTTTATTATTATCCATAGTTCTGCTGATTCGATTTGATGATTTCTTTGGATTTTGTCTGCCTTTAAGGACAAGGTCAAAAAGACAGTAATTCAGTGAGTATTTAAGGAAAGTATCAATAGATTAGCAAATACAGAAAGCTAGGGGTCAATATAACTGGAGCAGAATTTGTAAGGTGGTGATGATGTTTGCCTGGAGGTAGAAAAAAGGACAAAGTGTGAAAGAAATTAAAATCTAAAGAACAGTAACTCTTCAGAGGTCTTATTTACCCTTAGGTTTAAAACTGAATTTTCCATGACTTGAAGGAGGAGTAGTCTCTGTTGTCCCATGCTGTCAAAATTTTATGTTTGAGTACTGCTACTGTTGATATATACCCTTTGCTCTAGTGTTTAAAAGATGTTTCTGGGCTGCAATATCAATCAGCAGTATTCTTTAGAAATGTCAATAGCTGGCATATTAGCACTTCAAATCTATATCCCTTATAAATGGGGAGCACTTGACATTCATTCTGTACCACACAGCAATACTTAAATGGTGACACTATAGAAGAGAGTGAAAAGAGAACAAATATAAACTTTGAATTTTAGAAAGTGCAGAAGGACTCCAAAAGCAATGGAAAAAATGGTATCAGAACAAAGTTCTGGACCCATTGATACCTGGAGGAGCTTTGCTACTGAATTCAAAGGGATCCAGGTTTCAAAATTAACATCTATATTTAAGAAAGTACTTGTTCTTGAGTATTTACTTAAGGAATATGATTTTTTCTGCAGCTTTGGTATTTCAAGCAGAAATGTTCTATAACATATAAGAATAACATTTTTTCTTAACTGTTTAGACTGTAAATTCTTTGGATTAAAGATCTGTTACTGTGTTTTCACTCTGAAAATTCCATCTCCTAGTAGTTGTAATAGTGTTATTGCATACTGTAAACTCCTGACTCAGAATGCTAATAATACCAATAATTACAGAATTGTTACCTATAGTTATTATCATATGGATATTATTCAAGGCAATGTTGGTCCAACCTAGTAGTAACACTGCTAGTAATATAATAAAGCACAGTTTCTTGACTCAAACCAAGAACATTCATTAAAACAGAATATTTCCTGGCTTCTGTCCATCACAGCAATGTAATTCTTTTTGCTAATATCTAACATCCATTCCACATGTTCTGCTTATATCAAAGCCACTCAGAGAGACAATATTCTTAAAGAAAAACCATATCAAAGTATAAATAAACTTTGGAATGAAAAAAAAAACAAACACAAAAACCCACTTCACAGTTGTTGTAACAAAACATTTCTACAGCAGTGGGATTGTGCAAGGAACTTTACAAATATAACACATCTACTACTACTATCATCACTGAATAAATTAGAATATGTCCACAATACAGTGAAAGGCTTAATCTATATGGAAATAGCTAAACTATATTTATACAAGCAAGATTATATATTGATTAGTTCTGTTGGGTTTAATAGATCAAATTCATCAAGCAGCATGGCAAGTAAGATATGCTTTCCAACTACTGCTGTGTCACTCAGGAACTGTGCCTTCTGTGCTCACCTCATGAAGTGACTAGACCGTCTCTCACTAAGGCTCAGGTACATGGAAAGAAGGAGACATTGCTCGATGACTATGTTACCATCCCAAATTCCAGTCTCTGGTTCTGTGCAGTGTGACTGCATGCACTTGATATCATCATAGTTTAGCAACACCATTTTTGACAATTTATTCAACGGCTTTGCACTCCATCC